GAAGGTGGGATAGATTTCTAACAGATTGGAGAGGGCTGCTGAAAGGTGGGAGAGGATTGTTGGCAAAAGGGGGGGGGCGGACGACTTCTGACAGGTGGAGGAGGAATGCTGACAGGTGGGATGGACTGCTGACAGATAGGAGGGGACATCTGACAGAGTGGAGGAAGCTGATGGGTGGGATAGACTGCTGACAGGTGAAAGGACACTGATGACAGGTGGGTGGGGACTTCTGATAGGTGAGAAGGAATGCTGACATGTGAAAAGAAGAGTTTGCAGTGGGTGTGAGAAGTACACACACAGATGAGAGCTGTCATTGGGGCAGGGAGTGCAGTGGGAGGGGAGGAGGCGGGGCCCTAAGAGGATGTACACTCCCCAGAGGAATGTATTGTTTATAACTATAGTATGTATATGGGACAATCAATCACAGAGCTCAGCCAGACCAGCCTTTAGCGCGGCACAGTGAGCCGACAGGAAATCAAACAACTTCACACTATTCCTGTGTTTCTTCTGGAGGAAGCGGAAGTAATATTATTTCCTCTTCCACAAAGTAGGGTGGGTTCGGAATCTGTATGGTGGATTCTGGGTTCTGCCCCCAACGTATATTACCATCTTCTTCACAAGGTAGGATAGGATTGTGTACAGTGGATTCTGGGCTCCGCTCCCATCCCACATCCCTTCCTGTCCTCCCTAGGGAATGAGTTCATTCCCTAGGGAGGACAGGAAGTGGTTACATTGCAGAAATAAGGACAGATTGGGTTATGTACCGTGTTTGCCCGAAAATAAGACACTGTCCTATATTTTTTTGGGCTCAAAAAAACACACTAGGTCTTATTTTCGGGGTAGGTCTTATTTTATTTTTTAATGTACAACAATTCACACTTATTCATGTAGAAAAGTATATGGTGATCAGCGGTGCCGCACCTTTCCAAGAGCAATTTGCTAACCAATCACTTGCCAGAATGAGCGAAGCGCACTTTCACTATGGATTCCTCACAGGCGGAGTGCATTTGGTATCACTCCGCCTGTGACAGGAGCCGGCGTTATAGAGGAAGCATTGGCTTATGCGGCACTGCTCCCTCCGGTGCCGCCTCGCTTCCTCTAGCGCTGGCTTCGTTGGCACCGCTGATTCTCTCCTGCCTCTCCCGCGGCTCTTCAGGTTCCCCCCTTATGCCACCACCAGCCCTGGGATTGGTCACAACTAGGTCTTATTTTCGGGGTAGGTCTTATATTTTAGCAATTCCCAAAAATAGTACTAGGTCTTATTTTCGGGGAAACAGGGTATGTTTGTCTCTCTGCTGAGTTACAGGAGCAGGGGGGAGAAATCATTCATTTTAGAAGTTTTCAACTATTGGGGCCAAAGAATCCAAAAGAAAAGGAGTTTAGGCCCCAGAGGATTATCTTTGTAAGGATTGAAAGAAAGTAAATATTATTGGAGCAGAAGGTATTTCTCGGAGATACAAAGCCGCCTGTTTTCCAACAGCTCGTGCTCTAATTTATTCACCTTAATAGCCGACTTAATTAAAATCTATAGTGAGGAGTATTTGCAGCGTCGCTTTCAACGCGGCTGTCACAGCGCCTCTCTCCTATGCAAATCACAAGGTGATGAGACGGCTAATGAATCGCAGTCTGCGGGCGTTTGCTTAGAGCCGGAGCTTCCATGCTGCGAGGTCAGAACATTTACTTCCACCTGGGGGGACAGATAAAACCACAGTGAATCATTCACAGTGGCGGACACTTTCTTACAAATAAGAAACGACTACAGTGCCAAACCTGGCCGTGCCATTACCGGAGATAATGCCGGCGGTTGGTTAACTGTAATCTGAGTTTGGCACATTGTAGATATTTGCAGAGCTTCTAGGTGGTGATGCGGCTTCTTCTGTTCTCTGCAATCTCCTTCTCATGCTCCATTGTGGGTGGGGTTTCAGTGGGCTGGCAGATAGGGCGGAGCCTCGGCCCAGGGAACACAGTGATGGGGAATTCATAAAAACTGGAGCAGACAGAATCTGGAGTAGTTGCCCATGACAACCAATCAGCTTCTCTCTTTCATTTTTAAAGCTTAACTGAACAAACTGATGCAAAACAACTACCACACATTACAGCACGGCAGGTGCATTGCGTCGCTATTTATTTAAATGGCACCCCCTGTCCGCAATGTGTTGGACAACATTGCAATGCGCGGTACCACAATACCATGAGTTGCGTTGTTGGGGAAAAAAAGTAGTGCATGATTCTAGGGCCCGTTTACACCCTACGCGCACCCAAGGTGCAATTTGCCTTGTCACAGGCGGGCACACTTCATACCACCATGTTGTGGTGGTGTGCACTTTAAAAGGTATGGTATGCAGTACTAGTTTTAAGCACAGTGCAGTGAGATTTGGTGCAACCGCATCGCACTGCAGTGTGCCCATAGAACTTAATGAAATGTCACTTGTGACATTTTAATAAAGTTCTAACAAAAAACAGTGGTGCGTCTCGAAAGAGCGCATCGGCTATGTCCTGACACACACACCAGCAGCCTTGTGGTTGAGTGCGACTGCTGGTGTGAACAAGCCCATGCACATCTCCCTGCTCGGCTCTGAGCAATCTGGGATGCTCTGGCTGGCGTTTCCCCCAGCTCCTGGCAAACAATGACATCACTGGTGGCCAAGAGTTGAGTGGGATGCCGGCCACAGCGTCCCGGTTGCTAAGTGCTGGGTGGGGAGTTGTGTATAGGACAGGCGTACGGAGAGAAAAAGAAAAAAAAGAAAGCGCCCGAGGGGAGGACAAAGGGAAGAGAAAAACACTTTCAAGCCCCCCTACTGACCTGATGAGGCCTGGGCCCATTATGGGAGGGCTGCCTGTACTCCCCTTTAAGGGGCCCTGCAGCCTGGTGTAGGGAATGAAGTGATATGTGCAGTAGGGTTGCCACCTGTCCAGGATTCACCCGGACAGTTCGGGTTTTGAATGCTGTGTTCGCATTTCATGGCAGCAGAAACCCGGACACAAGATGTCAGGCAGACAGGGGCAACCAAAATTAAGATAGGGGCTACTGGCCCCCCACTGAAGATAGTCTCAACTGAGATATTTACATATGAATGGGTGGAGCTATTTACATATGAATAAGCCACCACTCATTCTCCAAAAAAAATGTCTACACGTCGCTTGACTGTTCGGGTTTCGCTTGAAGGAAAGGCGGCAACTGTGATATTTACATATGAATGGGTGGAGCTATTTACATATGAATAAGCCACCACTCATTCTCCAAAAAAAATGTCTACACGTCGCTTGACTGTTCGGGTTTCGCTTGAAGAAAAGGTGGCAACTCTAATGTGCAGGCTTCCTTTAGAATTTGCTTGTTGCCTGGCTTCCTCTGGGCTCTGGCACTGGACATACAGTACATAGTCAGGAGTTCGGAAATCACTGGCTGCTGATCAGAGACTCGCAACCTATGAAAGGCAGGGACGGCCATATTTAGTCACATTGGGACATTCAGTCTCCATATTTCTCTCTGTACAGGTTTCTTGTTCACCGGAGAAATATACTGAGATTTGATAATAAATGATGTTTTCTATTTATAAGTTCACATAGAAATGAACTATCCAGACCTTCTATTTGTAGGACATTAATGTACTTCCACGTCTCATTCCCCGCAGGCTCTCTCGGCCATGGATGAGTTTAGGAGCCTGGACCGAGACATTGAAGGGTCGGCCAAGCGCTGGAAGAAGTTTGTGGAGTCGGAATGTCCCGAGAAGGAGAAGTTCCCTCAGGAGTGGAAGAGCAAGACGGCTCTCCAGAGACTGTGCATGATGAGGGCTATTCGTCCCGACCGCATGACCTACGCCGTCAGGTGAGGAACGCCAATTCCTTGTTGGCGGTATGCTCACAATTTCACACGGGGTCATTTGAAACTATTTTTTGTAGCCGGCATGTCATTACATTTGAAATTAAATATAAATCCGCCTATCAAAATCATTCCAGTTACAGACCGGAGCAAAACTGCGTCCAATGTATTCCAATGGTATTATTTGCTCCAGTTCACATCGCAGCGTGCAGGTCCAGAGCAGGTGAAAAAACTGCAGCAAGCCCTATTTTACCTGCTCTGGATCTGCAAACGCATCAAAAACACATGCAAATGCCTGGAACGCACTGAAAGCCCATTTTAAACTTTAAAAACAAATTATTTTAGCCAAAAACGCATCAAAAACGCATCTAAAAGACTAGCATGCGTTTGCAGAAACCTGACCGGACCTGGTCTGCATTTGGTGTGAACAAGGCCTAAATTCTTACCTTTCTTACGAATAATCCCCGGTGATCCTGCCATGAAGGGCTTTGTTCAGGCACTTCCTATAAGATGACAACGTTCTGACCGTCTCCTAATTGTGCTCCTTTGTAGTTACATGGGCTTCAGATGGAGATAACAAGTGGCTGTTTCAATATGCATGGTCCACTGTTGTCACCTTTAAGAAACCCGCAACAGAAATGCCATGCAGCCATCGCCGCTGCTGGAGATCATCTGAGATGGAACAAAGCATAAAAAATGATGTTATTACAGTGAACACATGAAACATTCCCAGTGCTTTCGTTTAGGTTTTCATCTACTTTAATAAATGCTTTATAAATTCAGTAACTGTATTGCACTGGCACAAGATAAATGGACCTATCTCTGGGGGTCTGGCTCTCCAGCTGTTGTGGAGCTTATGTGGAGATAATGCTGTAACATGCTGGGACTTGCAGTTCCACAGCAGCTGGAGAGCCGCAGGTTGTAGACTCCGAGTCTTCATGTATGGAATATCGCGGGGGCTGAGACCTCCCGAATCCTGCAGCTGCGTTCCTGGCGCAGTTCAGAGCGGACACAGCTGATGAAGAGGGAGAGCGATGCTCTGAAATATTCTGCTAATTGACTTTGTCCATCTCCAGAGAGGCCTCCGCCGGCCCAGACACAGCTGTACGAGAACCATTACTGATCTGAAGTCATCGGAGTGCTCCAATCTTCTAAACTAAAGCTGCGAGGCCGGGACTATCCGAGCTCTTTATTGGTGGCGAGCTAAAAATCTATTGTTCAGTTTAGTTACTTTATGTCCTTGTGTTATATCGGAGTTTGTTTCCTCTTGAGTCTTGTTACACTGTGTTCACTTCAGTTGTTACTGTGGAGCATATCCTCCCTCTCTCTCTCCTCTCTCTCTCCTCTCTCTCTTCTCTCTCTCCTCTCTCTCCTCTCTCTCTCTCTCTCCTCTCTCTCTCCTCTCTCTCTCCTCTCTATCTCTCTATCTCTCTCTCCTCTGGCTCTCTCTCCCCCCCTTTCTTTTTTCTTTCTCTTTTTTTCTACCCCCCTGTCTTTTATTATATATTCTCTAACTATCCATTTTTTAATCATTCCCTCTATTTTTCTCTTGTTACAAACGTCAGGTGGTCATAATAATCTGGCCACTCAGTGTATATATATATATATATTCTGATTCTCTTGCTATTAACAACATCGTGTTCTGATGAGAGCTAGCTGTTCACATTTTGAATGAGAACAATGACCCTGCATGTCTATATCTGTACACAACCCTGTGTGTTCCTGCATGCCGAGAGCTTTTTAGGTAGAACACAGCTTGCCTTCTATCTGTAGCATCAGCATCATTCTTTAACTATAGACCTAAAGTACACAGTCTGGATAATGTTGGCAGTCTATCCCCAGAGATAAATATTGCAGAGCAGTCTCTGTGCTATCTGGATTCTACTTTTATAATATTTTGGGGAAGATTATCTCGATGTCAAAGCAGAGAGATTCTTTTTTTTATCACTCTGCCATATTGCACTGATGGAGGGGAAAAGGACAATGGCATTGGTTGACATGGGATAATCAAACGGCCAGAGACAAGTACACCCTCAACGTTATTGCCGTGTTTGGAAATGATTATTCATTTCGGTATGACAATTTTTTTGTTTGTTAACATTGGATATTACCCCGGCTTCATACACAATACACCTACTTACACCCTACACCTACATTCTAGAACCATGGCCATTAATATGGAGCCCCCTTTGTGGCTAAACCATCCTTTTACTCTTCTGGGAAGGCTTCCCACAAGATTTTGGAGAGTGTCTGTAGGAGGCCAGGTACTGATGTTGGATGAGAAGACCCGGCTCACATTTGGTGTTTCAATTAATCTCAAAGGTATTCAGTAGGGTTGAGGTCAGGGCTCTGTCCAGGACACTAGATTTCCTCCACACCAAACTGGTGTCTTTATGGAGCTGGCTTTGGACACAGGGGACAGTTGTGCTGGAATAGGAAACGACCTTCTCCAAACTGTTACCACAAGGTTGGAAGCACACAGTTGTGTAAAATGTCTTTGTCCAAAGAAGCATTAGGGGAATCCTTTACAGGAAACACTTGATGTTTATTCATTTGGAGAGGGGTCTACATACTTTGGACCACATAGTGTATGTTGTTGGGTATACTGTGATAAAACCATGTCACTTACACAACTTTTGGGTTTATGTAATTAACTGCATGATATCCCATAGCCACCCATCACAAAGCAGTGGATCGTAGCAAAGAATGGCAAATTCTGATTTGTTGCTGTAGGCTAGTGCAGCATATATTACTGTACTGAACAGACATATAAGTGATTCCATTTCTTGTGTTACTACTCCAGGGACTTTGTAGAGGAGAAGTTGGGCAGTAAATATGTCATTGGGCGTTCTCTGGACTTTGCCACCTCATTTGAAGAGTCTGGACCAGCCATTCCCATGTTCTTCATCCTGTCGCCCGGGGTGGACCCTCTAAAAGATGTGGAGAAACAAGGTAAAGTAATGACGCGTACTGGCCGCTGCTCCCTGCTGCCCGTATAGCCGGAGATAATGGGGACGGAACGAGCTATTCGCACTATATGTGAGAAAAGTACCGAGATATGTAACTCCTTTTTCTTTTCAGGGAGGAAGCTGGGCTACACATTTGACAACAAAAATCTGCATAATGTCTCGCTGGGACAGGGACAGGAGATTGTGGCTGAACAGGCTCTGGATCTGGCAGCCAAAGAAGGACACTGGGTGATCCTACAGGTACGACTTCACGTCCGCCGCGGTCAGTTCCGGCGTCTATAGAAGTCTGCAGTGCTAAGATTTCCCCACAGATCATACATATTACATCTCATGTGCTGGAGAGATGATGGCTTGTGCTGGCCATCTCCAGCATTATTCACATCTCCCATCATTTGTGGATAAATGTCTTCTGTATGTCACAGCTGCTTCCCAATACCAGATGTTGTCTGTCTGCTGGCAACTCCCAGATCGCTTGAACAGCCAAGTGTTTCATCTCATTCTTCTGTCTCTTCTCACTTTCCCTACTCTCCTCCTATGACTTTTCACTCTCTCTCTCTCCTTTCTCACTCCCTCTCACCCACTCTATCTCTTCCCTCTCTCTCTCTCTCTTTTACTCCCTTTCTTCTCTCTTCTCTTTTCTTCTCCCTTTCTTTCTTTTCATCTCTTCCCATCTCTATTTCTTTTCTCTCTCTTGTTCCTGATGACTGCTCTAGTAGAAAACCACTTCTAACCATTTTTCTGGATTTGCACATGAGGAAAAACACTTTCATTATTTGTATAAGGTCTTTAAATTATTTTATACCATTTTATCTCTCTGTGCCTATAAAATCTTTGTTCTAAGTGGTTTCTTCTCCAGCCGGTACAGGAGTGCGCGAGCAAGATAGATAATATAGAAAAATGTGGACACTGGCACTCCAAGGATAGAAAACGTCTATCTAATGACGTGCGTGCAAAACATACTTATAGCAATAAGTTTTGCACGCACATCAAAGCAATAAGTATGTTTTGCATGCACGTCATTAAATAGACGTTTTCTATCCTTGGAGTGCCGGTGTCCACATTTTTCTATATTACTGGACAGTGGTCATCCATCGACTATCGATGCACCCCCCTTACGTTCAATGGATGAGCAGTCAGGCGTGCAATGGGTACATGGACTGTACAAGATAGATAATAAGCACCATTTACAAAGCTTCATGACGGCATTGTCTCGGGACACTGCGGATATGTAGTTTTCTTATCCTGTATGGGTTAACATTGCAGACACGGATATAAACTATATGGCTGAAAGTTTGTGGACAGTTGACCATACACAAGAGCTTGTTGGACATCTCATTCCGAAGCAATGGGCAATAATTTGGTGTTCCCCCCTTTACCACTATAACAGCCTCCACTCTGTTGGGAAGGCTTTCCTTAAGATTTTGGAGCGTGCCTGCGTGAATTTGTGACCATTGGTGTGGTGAGGTACTGATGTTGGAGGAGAAGATCTGGCTCACAATTAGTCCAGAATAGTGGCTGTAACATCCTTCACTCTTCTGGGAAGGCTTTCCACAAGCTTTTGGAGGGTGTCTGTGTGAGGTCAGGTACTGATGTTGGATGAGATGTTGATGTTGGCCCACAATCTGCATTCCAATTCATGTTGGAATACCGGTGTTCAGTAGGGTTGAGGTCAGGGCTCTGTGCAAGACAAGTTCCTCCACACCAAGCTGGTCACACCATGTCTTTATGGAGCTGGCTTTGTACACAGGGGACAGTCATGGTGGGACAGAAAAGGGTCTTCACCAAACTGTTACCACAAGGCTAGAAGAAGACAATTGGCTAAAATGTCTTTGTATGATGGAGGATTAACAGAACCTTTACTGGAGATACCTGAACTCCGTCATTGTGAGAGGAGTCCACCTGTGTTTGGCCCTTGTAGGTGTGATGGTCAGGTGTCCTCATACTTTTGGTCATATAATGTAGGTAACTATAGATGTGTAAGTAACCAACAATATATTTTCAGGATTTTCCCAGTCTGTCCAGACTGAATCCCTCTTATTTTCTGCTCATTTGCCTCCCTGAGTTCAGGCAGCTCCAGCATATATTTCCCATTTTAAGTGCCGTCGGCATCCATTAGCCGAAATGCCACTTAAATCACTTGGGAATGAAGTTAATTTAATCCTGGGTGCCTCATTTTCATACATTGTTGCTCCAGTGCTCCATAATCAGGCTGCAAGTTCAGAAAAATAACTTTTGTGTAATCATGACTCTGAGCTGCCATGCTACCAGCGGGCACCGAGCCAACGGCGGTCTTTTCTGATGGGCTGAGTCCAGGACGCCGGCTCACCGCTTTAGGGCAGTATAACAGAATGAGACGAGTAACGAAATATCATGACAAATGGCTGTTTTTATTACATTTCTCCTTTTTTTTGTGTGTCACTTTGAATCTGTGGGGGACATGTACTAATTGTCTGTTACCTGCTGCAAGAGGAATTGAAGAGAGCCTGTCACCCCAACTATTGCCCCTGGGCATGCAACAGTTCCTTAATTAGATAAAGTAACAGGTATTTGCTGAGCCGGCTCGGGTCTAGGTTATCATTACAGTGCGAAAAACTAAATTCCCTCCAGGTGATTGTGAAATTCTAGAGCTTCTGACAGCTCACTGCAATAGAACCGGAGACTGAAACGGCTAGATTAGTATGCAAACCACCTAGAAGAAGCTTTTTATTGTTGTTCTATGTTATTACTTATTTTAGGCCAAAAGACTGAAAAATGATAGCTGATAGAGATCTTATATGCCTCTATGGGAAGATTATGTAAACCCTTACTGAATGTTATTTGGCTTGATAACATCCTGCGTATTAAACATCTGGCTTTTTTGGTGGTGAGGAGGGGGGCTGCCACAGTGTCCCAGGTTGCTAAGGACTCCGTAACACTCTGTGCAGCTTCCTGCCCAGCTCACTGACGTCACTGCTTGCTAGGAGCTGAGTGGGATGCTCTGGCTTGGGTTCTGCCAAGCTCCTCTTCCACAGTTGTAGAGTGTTAAGAACATAATCTAAATGCTGAGATATGTTCCTGGCCCACATTAGAATTGAGGAAGCCACTTGGATGATGGCATGACGTCTACAACATTTCAGAACAGGACTAACTTTAGAGATAAACAGTAATGAGCCTTTGCACAGACAACCCTCCAGGTCTCTCACAGATTCCTCTCTTGACGTTGTTGTAGAACATCCATCTGGTGGCCAAGTGGCTGAGCACCCTGGAGAAGAAACTGGAACATCACAGTGAAGGCAGTCACCAGGAGTTCCGGGTCTTCATCAGCGCAGAGCCGGCCCCTTCGCCCGATGGGCACATCATTCCGCAAGGTATCCTAGAGAACTCCATCAAGATCACCAATGAGCCACCTACAGGCATGCACGCCAACCTACACAAAGCCCTGGATAACTTCACTCAGGTGAGGCAGCTGGACCGAACTGTTATGGTTATGTTAGGTGTGCTTGGAATGCTGTTATACCCTGAACTCAAACTATTCAGTATTTTTTCACATTTGTCACAAATGTATAGCAATGTATCTGTAAACATTGTGCAGCATATACAATAAATGTGAATAAACATAAAATAACGTTCCCATTGTCCTTGTAAGTCAGTGAGGACATTCAAGTATCTTCTGGGATTCATAAGACTTCCATTATCTTGTGTTAATGATCTCGGTTTTGGTTTGATATCAGCCTCTTGCAATCCCCTATACAGCAGCATTATCTCGTGTTAATGATCTAATTTTGACTTGGTATCAGCCTCTTGCAATGCCCTGTACAGCAGCTGCCGGATAGGGGATTGCAAGAGGCTGATCTGAAATCGAAATGAGATCATTAAGGGAAGATAATGGAAGTCTTATGAAAACCGGAAGATATTTGAATTTCATATTATTATACAAATCTGTGGTATTCCAACCCCTCGGGCGTCTGGTTAGCTTGGAGTAACAGGCATCATTCTTAGCTGATCTTGACTGAGACCCCTAAAGCGCCTAGTGCTTACCATATGGACCTTATAAGAAAACAAGCCAACGTAGAGCTACATAGAGATCAACATTAAAGGATACAGCGCTGTTTAAGAGGACCAGCTGACCCTTACAGAGAGGAAAAAGACTTTGAGACCTTGCTATTCATTTAGTTAAGGTGAAGTTAATAAGGCAAATCCCTGTCCTGTTGGGATATCACTTGAATTTGGAAGTATATACACAGTTTTCACCATTCTAGTGCTGCACTTATTATTTGCGTATTATTGTTTAAATCATATTTTCATTATTGCTTTATCTGTTCAGATTGGTAGATTCCTCCTTATTAACGGCCTGCATATTAGGCCAAGTCAGCCAGCTTCCCTGCAGAACACTTTCCCTGCTAAAATCTCAGCCATGTAGACATTGCAGTGTGTATGTAGACCCTAACATCGAACTTCTCTTATTTGTTCCTTTTTGGCCTGTTGAATATACCATTGGAAGTAGAGATGCAGCGATACCAATACTAGTATCAGTGCCGAGACCGAGTATTTGAACAAATACTCCCGATGCCAGAACTTCGGGTATCGGGAAGCTGGGTGGCGAGTCATTACACGCCGCCTGGCTTCCTGATTGGTCGGGAAGCTAATTCCATGCTCCCTTGTCACCAGGGAGCATGGAGCTGGCTTCCGGGCCAGTCAGGAAGCCAGAGGGCGTGTAATGACTTGCCACCCGGCTTCCTGGATGGTCGGGTAGCTGGCCATTTAGGAAGTTGAGCGGCGAGTCATTACCTGCCCCACGGCTTCCTGATTGGCCAGAAAGCTGGCTCCATGCTTCCTGACCAATCAAGAAGCCAGGCAGAGTGTAATGACTCGCTGCCCGGCTTCCTAAATGGTCGGTAAGCTGGCCAATCAGGAAGCCGGGCGGCGAGTCTTTACAGGCCCCCCGGCCTCCTGATTGGCCAGAAAGCTGTCTCCATGCTTTCTCTTCACCTAGTGACGAGGGAGCATGAAGCCGGGCGGCGAGTCATTACACGCCGCCCAAGTTCCTTAATGGGATTATCATTATTGACGAATAACCAAACAAAAAATATTGATACTCATACTCGATACCAAAAAACCGGTATCGGTGGATCCCTAATTAGAAGCATTTTAGTTATATGTGTTTGCTAGTGCTAAAAGTACTTGTTGGTCCTGCCAGAAACCTTGTGAGCTTCCCATGCACTCTGCTTTTGCTGCACTCTTTATCAGTTAAATTGTTCCCAGTTCTCTCTGTGGACTACAGATCCCACCCTCCCATGTGAAGAGGGAGAGGTGTTCTGTAATCCTAACACATGTCCTGTCCTAGGCTGACAGTGCTGCTCCTCCACAGATATAGTATGGTGAGTGAGCGTTCTCACCCTAACACAGGAAGTGTGTTACTGGCAGGATCACCAGCTGAAAATAAAAAAATATACTAAATAAGAAAACATGCCACCACTGCATCCAATGACTGGTATGCAACAATATAGTGAGTTCTGCTCTTGGGTTTAGATATGCTTTAAGGTGGACCTAGACTCTGTGCATGATGTGGCACTGACAGTACTGTATTCTGATGCAGGACACTCTGGAGATGTGCGCCCGGGAGACGGAGTTCAAAAGCATCCTGTTCGCTCTCTGTTACTTCCACGCCGTGGTGGCAGAGAGGAGGAAGTTTGGGCCTCAGGGCTGGAACCGCTCCTATCCCTTCAACACCGGAGATCTCACCATCTCAGTCAACGTTCTGTACAACTACCTGGAGGCCAATGCCAAGGTAAGAGATGGTCCTGCACAGCACGGGGTGAAGTCCAAGCCCTCCGGGGTCAGTGTGAACATGGCTCTCTCCTATTCCAGACTGTGGCCAATGAGAAATCATTTAGACCTTTTCTTCAACTTTCCTGAGATTTAAATTCCCAGCTAAAACTTTTTTCAGTTTTGGACAGAGTGGGGAAGAGTCAGGGGTGGTGGATCATTTGGGAAGGGGTGTTGGATCATTCGTTCTGGTAACTATTGCAATGTTATCTGAGGCCTGATATAAGAAAATACGTTTTTTTTCTTCTCTAGGGAGTAGCAGTCTTTGGGAGGTACAGGTCTCAGATCAACTAGTGGGCGGGGTTGGGAGAGATTCCATTGTGGGAGTCCCAGAGCTAAAAGTTTATAAAATATTCCACCTGATGGTGTTCTCACACATTTGAAGAATTAGATTTTAGATGGAGTGACCCTTTAATAAGTAGAAAACTGAAATAATGGGGCAACCAGTCACCTGTAGTCAGCTCAATGGAAGCTGCAATGTGATTGGTTGCTGGTACTGCTCCCTGCATGCTGCTGTTTGTCTCATTGAATAAACCCAAATTAGTTTTTGGCCCACCAGACCAGCCCGTTCCCTGAATGAGCAGGACTGTTCTCCTGTCACATCGCCCAGCTGTGTCCCCGCACTCGGGCGACAGCTGATCTGCATCCTTCACACCCGGTTTGCTTTGTGTCCCAGGTCCCCTATGATGACTTGCGCTATCTATTTGGCGAGATCATGTACGGCGGTCACATCACGGATGACTGGGATCGGCGTCTCTGCCGGACATATCTGGAAGAATACATCAAGCCGGAGATGCTTGAGGGAGAGCTGTTCCTCGCCCCGGGATTCCCAGTGCCTGGAAACATGGACTATAACGGTTACCATCAGGTACATCATCAGGAGCTCAGATCCATCGCCAACATACGCAGTAGAGCAGCTGAGCTTTTCACCTCTGAAATTCCACTACCGGAATTTCCCACCGAATGACAACCACTGACAATGTTCCTGTTCTCCTCATTGCAGTACATCGATGACGTTCTACCGGCCGAGTCTCCTTACCTGTATGGCCTGCACCCCAATGCCGAGATCGGCTTTCTGACCCAGACATCAGAGAAACTGTTCCGCACAGTGCTAGAGATGCAGCCTCGGGACAGCAGCATGGGTGACGGTGGAGGCGTCACGCGGGAAGAGAAGGTAGGCGATGAGTTATACTAGACCTGCCACTGTATATAGTTGTTACTATAAACTGTAAATCAAGGTATGGTGTAGTCCCTTGGTTCTCAACTGGTGGGTCGCAACCCTGTGTTCAGTGGGTCGCGGCATGCCTTCCGCTTTTGAAGGTGAGAGACTTCTCTGCCTTCCCCAGCGCAGCACTGTCAGTTTTTGCACCAAGCAGCCATTTAAATATGCTGCCCAGCACTGAGTGTCAGCTTGAGGTGGGGTTGGCTGGAGCTATGGCTGATGGGGAGCTCCATCCATAAGTGCATTGCTTACAGCTCCCTCACGTGCACTGTAGAGGTGCCTGGACCGGAGTGACGTCACATTCTGGCTCCCGCCACCTCTACAGGGCGGGCAAGGGAGCTGTAAAAGCAATGCACATATGGATGGAGCTCCGTCACAGCACAGCAGCCCACACCGGACCCCAGGCTGAGGATCTACTATAGTTCTCATAAGGTAGGAAGACTGGGTGGACCTTATGTGTGTGAGAATGTCTGTGAGTGTGCGACATTGTGTCTGTGTATGTATATCAGTGTTTTTGAGGGCCCGTTGACACTAGTACAGTGCATTAAACTGTACCACGCAATCGCACCTACCGTGCATTCTGGTGTGGGAGGTGTGTTGCATTGCCATTGCCTCCCTCCCACAATTTGTACGCCCACAATAGAATGCGCGGTACCCTAATGCCGTGCCTTCCATTGCAGTCTGACTTGGGTCGTCACTTAATGGCCAAGGACAAATATGGGTCCTGAGGTTACACAGGTTGAGAACCACTGGCGTAGTCTACAGCAGAGCCCCTACATACCCTGGTGGTCAGGAATCCGACCCCCCCAAGAATGTCTCTGTGTCCGGCCTCCCTTCATAGATCTTAATAAGGAAATCAACAGCCTCTGCTCACGGTGAAGACTGTAAATGTTTATTTAGAAGAGAAGAGTTACAAAGCAATAGTACAGATCAGAAAGTAGATAAATGAACACATGTGGAGCTGGTCATACACCGCCTGTTTTTCCTCGCTCAGCTCCGCCGAAATTTGACCGGTGTACGGCCAGCATTAGGCATGACAGCTGCACCAAGGATCTGACCTAAAGGCTTTTAAGCCTCGACAATGGTCGTGTAGACCCTCCCAAACAAAAACATTTGACATTAAATCCTTCACTTATGAATTTGCTCAAGCAGCACATTATTAATTACCAGAAATTCCAATTTCTGCGATCTCAAAACACCTCATCAGCTTACCTGGGGAGACCTCCAGACACCCAAATACCTCATAGTCCATCCATCCGATTCAGTAGAATGCTTATTGAGTACAGCAGGTACCCCAGTTTATCACCTCCTATGGCTTAGTTCCTTGTTCACATACCATAGCACAACGTTTCAGACCTAAAGCCACGGTCTTGGCCTCATGAGCTTTTGGAGGTTTCTGCTTCTTCGTGTCACATGATTCTTTTCTGTGTCCAATCCTTTTTTCTCTAAAGAAATATATTCAGCAATTTATAGTGGGTTAGGATTTAGATCACCAGCAACAAAGAGATGCTTAGCAGTGATGTGGTTTGGGTACAGACGCGCTGAGAAGGTCAGCTCTTCCTCCTGCTTGTCTTTTTGGGAACCTATAGACGTCCATCCAGAACTTGACCCTTACCGCCGCTGATAGGGAGTGCACAGTGACCGATGATACCGTATTATAGCTCAGAAATCTAATCCTGCACCCCATAGTGAACCTCAGCTGTTTATTTGAGGGCTCATCTAGGCAATTGTCAAAAACCGTGTTCCTCTGCCGGCGAGTCATCAGTGTTTCGGTGACCTTGAGAGGCCCCAACCAGGGCAGAGAAACATGGTTTTTGGCACTTTTGCTTTACCACCTGTCTTGTTGAGCCCCCAATAAACAACTGGGGCTCCTCGTGGGGTGCTGACTTTTTCTATTTTCTGGACTATAATACAGTATCACCGGTAGCCGTGCTCTCCCAGTACCTGACCCATAACGCCAGTGATAGGGAGTGCACGTCTAGCGGGGATGCTGTATTAAAGCTCACAAAATCAAAAAAGCCAGAACCCCATAATGCGCCTTAGTTGTTTATTGGGGGCTCAACAAGGCAGGCGATAAAGAAAAGTTCCATATAACATGTTCCTCCACTGACGTTTCGAAACCCAAACAAGACCTCTTTCCTAAGGCGACAGGACCTCTTTCCTAAGGCGACACGGCCTCTTTCCTAAGGCGACAGGACCTCTTTCCTAAGGCGACAGGACCTCTTTCCTAAGGCGACAGGACCTCTTTCCTAAGGCGACACGGCCTCTTTCCTAAGGCGATAGGGCCTCTTTCCTAAGGCGATAGGGCCTCTTTCCTAAGGCGACAGGGCCTCTTTCCTAAGGCGACAGGGCCTCTTTCCTAAGGCGACAGGACCTCTTTCCTAAGGCTACAGGACCTCTTTCCTAAGGCGACAAAAGTTGGTGGAGTTACATGTTCTTTGGCGTTTTTCTGTTGTCACTTGTCTTGTTTGAGCCCTCAATAAACAACAGAGGCTCATTATGGCTTGTTTTTTTTAGTTTTATTAGCTTAAAGCGAACTGTCAGAACAGCTGTCCCAATAACAGCAAGGCTGCTTTGCCTGAGTCCTAAAAGATTGTTTGTTCCCCACTTACTGGTTGGGTTACTTTGGCGCAGCTTCAGATAACAGGCGTCCTGCCATGTTCTATAATCCTCTGCATACAGGTCGGTGTGCATTCCTTGTATAGGGTTAGCTCTGTCCAGGCAGAAGGGACAAGGGCAAGAAAGGTGGAGATGGGGCTGAATACTTACCCGAGTTATATTTTTAGGCACGTATGATATGTATTCACTTCATTATCAACTAACATGACAACCCACGCAAGCAGTTTGGCTGCAGGGAACCTTTGTACTAACATACATACACAGCCCAGCCCCATACCTGAAGCACGCACAGGTCAGCTGTCATCAATCTGATGTTTTCCATGTGTGCCATCAGCATTGCCTGCTGTAAACTGCATGGGGGGTCAGCAGGTTGAATCAGAATACAACCAAACCAATCTGTGTACAGGTGAAATACATTTATGTGAATCTCTGTTCTTGTGATTCACTCATAATATATATACAACCTATTCACTTTTGTGCCTTTTCTGTTAACTGGAATGTGAAAGAGCACCATCACATTGCAATGTTCTGTCTGTGCTGCCCACGCACCTCCTGCCTCCAGTCCTTGGTACCTGAAACCTGTTAGATTGTGCACCTCTGCAGTTCATATATCTCTGTGCATCTCCATGATCCCTGTTCACCTATACACATTCGCAATTCCCCATACTCCTGTACACATTGGCAGTCCCCATACTACCACTGTACACATTGGCAGTCCCTATACTCCTGTACACATTCGCAATTCCCCATACTCCTGTACACATTCCCCATACTCCTGTACACATTCGCAATTCCCCATACTCCTGTACACATTCGCAATTCCCCATACTACTGTACACATTCGCAATTCCCCATACTCCTGTACACATTCGCAATTCCCCATACTCCTGTACACATTCCCCATTCCCCATACTCCTGTACACATTCGCAATTCCCCATACTCCTGTACACATTCGCAATTCCCCATACTCCTGTACACATTCGCAATTCCCCATACTCCTGTACACATTCGCAATTCCCCATACTCCTGTACACATTCGCAATTCCCCATACTCCTGTACACATTCGCAATTCCCCATACTCCTGTACACATTCCCCATTCCCCATACTCCTGTACACATTCGCAATTCCCCATACTCCTGTACACATTCGCAATTCCCCATACTCCTGTACACATTCGCAATTCCCCATACTCCTGTACACATTCCCCATTCCCCATACTCCTGTACACATTCCCCATACTCCTGTACACATTCGCAATTCCCCATACTCCTGTACACATTCGCAATTCCCCATACTACTGTACACATTCGCAGTCCCCATACCACTGTACACATTTGCAGTCTCCATAACTCCTGTACACATTGGCAGTCCCCATACCACTGTACACATTGGCAGTCCCCATACCACTGTACACTTTGGCAGTCCCCATACTCCTGTACACATTGGCAGTCCCCATACCACTGTACACATTAGCAGTCCCCATACCACTGTACACATCCATGGTCCCTCTGCCCCTCCGTGGTTCATATTCCCTTGTGCACCTACACAATACCCATTCAACGGTCCCTGCTCACCTGTATACGTCTGAGGTCTCCATTCACCTGCACACATTTTTATAGGCTAGTATCCGATACCACGGCTAACTGTTTGTACAACACAAGCTGTATTACTTCTGTGTGAAGGGGGTTTGTGTACAAAGCTAGGACTAAATCCTTCCCCCGATACAGTGCAAATAATACATTACCGCAGAGACTTGAGAAGTTATTGAGCGCTGTTACATCTCGCGCTGGGCTTGTTTGAACTTGTGGGTCGAAGTATAATTCCAACATCAATAAGCTGCTGTGGAAGGTACTTTATCCTGACTTGCAGCTATTTCCATATCACATACATTCACAAAATCTCATCCTCGCGCCTCTCTCAGATCACCATGTTACCGAGTGACCCGGCCGTGGGATAATGAATCTCTGTTTACAGCTAATGGATCCTTTTGTGCTCCATAATAGAGTTGTGTAGACTTAACTGGCTGAGTTTATTGGCCTCCTACATGAAGGTCATTGTGTATCCATGAAGGTTGAACGTGGATTGTGTTGTGGAGATGAGAGGAGCCCATTATACAACCCTTGGCACATCAGACGCTGCACAATCCAGGCTGTATATCACAGAGCATAGGCTGGGAAGGGGGGCTGGAGAGCCCATACTAGTCCATGGTATAAACAAAAAGATTGTTTGTTCGTTTTCTAGGTAAAAGCCACACTGGACGAAATTCTGGAGAAGCTCCCAGAAGAGTTTAATCTCTCCGAACTCATGGCCAAGGCGGAGGAGAGGACACCGTACATTGTAGTGGCCTTCCAGGAGTGTGAGCGGATGAACATGCTGACCAGTGAGATCAAACGGTCACTCAAAGGGCTCAAACTGGGACTCAAGGTAACAAAGTTATCTATGTCTGCAGAAGCACCAAGTAGCAACCAAGGGGTCGTGGTGGTGGGGGGGGGGGATTGTCCATCTCCATGCAAAAACAAAATTCCCCCTCTCCTTCCAAAGCCCTATTTTACTTACCTGACTGTAATATCATATGACCCTCTGTGGTGCCTCTTCTGGGAACAAATACAGGTGATCCAGTGCTGCAGTCGCCACCCCTCTTCATGATGTCATCATGCAGCACCTGCCCATGGGGTCCTGTGTGTGAGGATACCGCCAATAAACCCAATGTAAAATGTCCACATTACCAGGCAGTGACGTAGGCCCCCAAAGGAGGACCTCCCCAATCTCCAAAGAGGAGAGGAGAGGATTCAGGATCTGGGGCATCATATGACCACAGATTCAGTATTTGTGAGATTTGGCTTTTCTAAAAATATTATTGGAAGATGCGTTAGGGGGGATCCTTGGCCAAGAGAAGAGAAGCCTTAAAGGATAATTAGGAGGCGAGTGATTTTTACTCAGCCTCATAATCTGAGTCGACCTGTGACAATGAAACTGTCACAGGTCGGCTCAGTAGATCGGGAAGTGAGCGAACACATACCGGCACTCGCTCACTTCTCGATCTATCCATGCAGAGAGCCGTGACTGTCACTCACAGTTCCCTGCAGGGATTCCCCCTCCACGCTCCGATCCTCCAGCGCTGACTGGCGGAACGGACGGGGGAGGGGCCGGGCACAGCTGGCTCTGCCTCTGGATAGGCAGAGCCAGCTGTCAATTACGCAGCTTGTTGGATCCAGACACTATTGTCGGGATCCCTCGCGGCTGCGGCATCTCAGTATACCGTAAGCTATTGCTCGCGGTATACTGAGCTCACGGTGACGGGTGGACGCAAGTTTGTGTTCTCCCGTGACCCTTAGGAGAACTATGGGGAAAAGCCCTGACCCCATAGTTCTCCTTAAGAACTCCAGAACACCAAACAGCTAAATGCACAGTTAAAATGCTTATGAGAACTGTTTTCTTCTAATGGATTTGTATTTCTATCTATCCAGTCCTGAAATTGGCACAGCTCTACCACCATCAACACCACTTCCTGTGTTATAGTCTCTAGAAGAAATACATTGGTGTCTACTGTCTGTCACCAACCTGCTGATTGGAGAGAAAGAGTAGCCTCAGACTAATAAGGTCTTAACACCTTTTCCTTCCTTGTCTTACAGGGTGAGCTGACCATGACCAGCGACATGGAGAATTTACAAAACGCCATCTACATGGATCAAGTGCCTGAATCTTGGACCAAGAGAGCCTACCCCTCCATGGCCGGCCTGGCGGGCTGGTTTGTGGACCTCCTCAGCCGTATCAAAGAGCTGGAGACCTGGACCGGCGACTTTGCTCTGCCATCCGCTGTGTGGCTTGCCGGATTCTTCAACCCGCAGTCCTTCCTGACCGCCATCATGCAGTCCATGGCCCGAAAGAACGAGTGGCCTCTGGATAAGATGACATTGCAGTGCGACGTGACCAAGAAGAACAAAGAGGACTTTAGCAGCCCGCCACGAGAGGGAGCCTACGTCCACGGACTGTTCATGGAGGGAGCGCGCTGGGACACCCAGGTATCTACATTTCCCTCCGTTGTATCTATCGGGGGGTTTATGTCCTTTAGAGCTCATACACACGAGCACCATCAAAACACAAAGGACATATTTTGTGCATTAACCCTTTCTCAATCTCTAGATTAACATTCACAATGTCTGTTCACTGCTTGATGCCTCCTGGTGACACTTTGGTAGGGTGACTCTAAAGGTGCCCATACACTCTACAACCCTCGCAAGACTTTTGTCTTGCAAGGGTTGTAAAGTACTTAAAAAAACGTACGATCTGCCCATCTTGTACAGGCAGATCGTACTTGCGATCATCGCAAGCCCGCCCCCCCTGAGGGATCTCTCAATCATGTTAAAAACCAGCCAAAAATCGTACGATTCTCAGCGCAGTGGGGTCCTGAGATTGGGGGATCCCAAATTCCATGAGAATCTGGGCTTCAAGGTTCATTCAGAATGGGTCCTCAAAGCACAAAGCAATGTCACACTGAACCTCTCACTCTCCGTAGTAGCACACAAAAAAGAGGGGGAGATTTGTCTTCCTGTCCTGAAGATGCAACAGGAAGTGAGAGGACAATACCCTCTTAGACACCTCACCTCATGTTCTCAAGTTTTGGATTTCCCATCACTTTATGTATCAGTAACAATGGTGTCCATAAAGAGGGCCAATCTCTCTGTCAGGTCCAGAACAGGTATCGGAGAAACACTTGGAATACCAATAGTCAGTGGTGCCATATCGCAGGATGTCAAGCCGATCTCTGGAAATACAAAAGTCGTTCGACCGTACATTAGAAACGGTCGGACGCCTTCCATACACTGCACGATTCTCGTACGATCGCAGGATTTCCCGCGATTCTCGTACGAGAATCGTGCAGTGTATGGGCACACTTAAGGCATCCTGTTTTTCCCAGAAGGCTTTACTGCAGTAATCATCTTTGCCCAAAGCCATGGCACCTGTCACGTGACCATTGCTGAGCAATTCTAGAATAACTGCTCACAAGGTAAAGGTAACTCAATGGATATGTTACATTTGCGTTGCCATATATGGAGGCATTTTAGTCAAACTTGGACTTTAAGCTTATTTTAAAGCATGTTCAAAACACACACACAACACATGTGAAAATGTTCCTTCACACGCCACACGCATAAGTATGAAAGAAGCCCAAGACCAAAGGTTGGCACATGCCTGTCCCGCCATACCACTCCCCCCCTCCCTCTCCTGACTGCTGATCTTCTTCACAAATCCTCATAACAATATTAGAGAGCTGATCAAAGTGGGACATCTGGCACATGATCTGAGTATTTAGCCGCCTCCTCTTTCGCAATGGGGATTTTTTTTTATACTAGAAAGAGAAAGGCGGCCGCGCTCTAATTAACAAAGGACGAGCTTCAAGGTTGAGTGGCGGAGCGACATCCACCTCAAAGACAATAGGCTTGTCAGAGGCTCCCAGCCCGGGATGAGGAGCAATATGGAAGGATTTAGTTGCTCTTTGATATGAAAAATCGAGTGCGGATTTAAATATGTCCCCAATTACCGCATTTTATTATCATTTTTACCGTCAATGTTACATTCCGGTTCACAGTTCTATTCTGGCTTTAAAAAAGAAAAGTTCTAACTTTGTCTGCTGACCTAGATGCGTACGGAACACTAGCGGTAAGGCGGTCTGTCATTGGCACTGGACCTAAAGTGGACTTTATATTGGCATACAAGGTCCATCTATGTTGCAGCTCCTCACCTGGAATAAAAAAAAACATGTAGAAGTTCCTTGCGTTCCACCGCGGCTTTCAGCTCCCCTCTTTGGTGAGGGTCACGTCACTGGGCCTCACCATGTGTCCTGAGATTGGAGGATCCCAAATTCCATGAGAATCTGGGCTTCAAGGTTCATTTCATTCAGAATGGGTCCTCACAGGACAAAGGAATGTCACACTGAACCTCTCACTCTCCGTAGTAGCACACAAAAAAGAGGGGGAGATTTGTCTTCCTGTCCTGAAGATGCAACAGGAAGTGAGAGGACAATACCCTCTTAGACACCTCACCTCATGTTCTCAAGTTTTGGATTTCCCATCACTTTATGTATCAGTAACAATGGTGTCCATAAAGAGGGCCAATCTCTCTGTCAGGTCCAGAACAGGTATCGGAGAGACACTTGGAATACCAATAGTCGGTGCCATATCGCAGGATGTCAAGCCGATCCCTAAGGGTCAATGGCCGTGGGGACTCTGTTCTTGTCAGACAGGGTCACCCTAACTGGGGTACCCACAATTAGAAAGAGAAAGATTACATGAAGAGGAACAGACCACAAATGAGTCCAAGGAAACATTAATAGTTCATCAAATAACTGTAAAAACTGGCAACTTGTTTTATTGGTCTGAACTAACACACACACACACACACACTTTCATCGAGGCTTGGACAGGGATTTTGTTTTCAGATCCCATTTTGGGTACTGTATCACTCACTCAAACTTCGTATTGATTCAATTTGCCAATTGTGCTATTTGAGTCCTCAGAAGAAGAGTGGTCAGACCTCTGAACCGCACTGGCTGTAATATCAATTAATTGATATACTAATAAAGTTTTCTTGGACTAATTTACGTTTTGGCGCTCTTCATGCTATCTTTCTCTTTCTGGATTCTGATTCTTGGAGTCTCAGTTAAACTGGCTCTGTCTTGACGAGAGCAGCCTCATCAGCAGTGGCGTCAGAAGGGGGGTGCGGCCCGCATCCGGGTGACACCATTGGAGGGGGTGACATAAAAATGACTGACAGTCATTTTGGCGTCACCCCCCTCTGAAAAGTCGGGCACGCGGTCATGGACCGAGAGCCCGGCAGTTGCAGGAGAGAGAAGGGGACACGGCGTCATACCTTATCCCGCCGGGTGAACATCCCCTCCTCTCTCTGCCGGTGTCTATCACCAAGGTGGCCGCCGACAGGTATCACAAAGATGGGCGCGCATGCCCGATGACGTCACGGCAGGGTGTCACCCAGTATCCACTCCGGGTGACACCCGGCCTCGGGACGCCCCTGCTCACCAGGGCCATCAAGCCTTAGAAATTGGTTGGACATCCTGCAATATGGCACCACTGATAACCAGTATTTAAGTGCCTCTCCAACACCTATTCTCCAGAAAACCCAGTTGCCACTCTTCCCTTCTTCATTCAACACTAAAATAAAAAATGTGGGTAGCCACACGCTTTAAGACAGATTGTCAATGGCACCGCCCATATTTCTAAACTAAACTAACAGGTTGTCTTTAACCTCACAAAGCAGCTGCCTTGTTGGGGTAACTTTAAAAATCTTTCCTCACTTCCTGTGAGATAAAGTCCCAGAATTCATTATTATTATACAGAATTTATATAACAACAGTTTGAAGGAGGGTTAGGAGGTCCATAATCCAATAGGAAGGGGCAAGTCGTCATAGAAAAGGGAGTAACTGTGAGGGATTAGCTGATGGAGACGGTAATAGTTCAGAAGTTAGGAAGAGGTGGGATAGGCTTCCCTGATCTGAAGAGTAGGAGATATCTGGACCGGTTGGGGCATGGAGTCCCAGAAGATGGGAGAAGTCCTGGAGGTGAGCATGGGTGGAGGTGACGAAGGAGGTCCTGGGAAGAGCAGGAAGGACTGTTTGGGTGTCATGTTATGCCCGTTATGTAGTCCCAGCCGGACCTCCTCCAGCACAATCATAAAGATATATGTAAATGATCATAAACCCAACACTCAAATCACTTGCCCCGCACAATTTCTAACAAGAGAACAGACAAAAAGAAGCTCTCCAGTAAACACATTAATAAGTTCCCTCCGTCCTCCATTTATCATTAAAATCCGCCCCGTAATCTCCCCGCACGCTATTCATCTCAATATTATCACCTCGTTTATCTGGCAATACGACGCCGGCTTCTGGATGCCGGAGCAGAATGCAGAACGCGGAATTCTCAGGATGTTGTTTCCATGGTAATTTATAATCAGATGTGATGTCATTCCCGTTTGGCAAGCGTCGGCTACAGCTAAGCAATTCTTACTTATTAATACAAAGGAAAGAGGCTTATTTAAAGGGGAAGTGTCATGGCGGTGGAGGATCCGGACTGGTGGGGTTACTATACACTACATGGCCAAAGTTTCATTGACATCTGACTCTCACACCTGCTATATGGTCAAAAGTATGTGGAACCCCTCTAAATGATGGAGTTCAGGAGCTTCCAGTGAAGGGTCCTATTGATGCTACGGCATACGAAGACACTTGTGCTCTTCTTGTGGTCACAGTTTGGTGAAGACCCTTTTCTGTTCCACCATGACTGCCTCCCCGTGTACAAAGCCAGCTCCATAAAGACATGGTTTGGTGTTGAGGAACTTGGGCCCTGACCTCAACCCTACAGAACACATTTGGGGTGAATTGTGAGCCAGGTCTTCCAATCCAACATCAGTACCTGAACTCACAAATGGGCACAAAGTCCCACAGACACCCTCCAAACTCTTGAGGAAGTCTTCCCAGGAGAGAGGAGGTTGTTATAGTCACAAAGGAGGCCAACTCCATATTAATGGTCATGGGTTTTGGAATGGAACGTCTGACAAGGTCCTATTAGGTGTGGTGGTCAGATGTCCACAAAGCTTGGCCCATATAGTGCACTCAGTACCCGAACCTGAACCCAAAATCTAACCCTCTTCCCGAGACTTCCGGCCCATACCTGAATAAATATCAGGAAACAAAACTCTATGTCCATCTGTTAGGTTGGCGTGAGTACATAAAACAAGGGAATTGTACGGATGATGTTGCTAACGATATCCTCTTTTATCACTTTGTAGACCGGAATTATCACCGACGCCAGGCTGAAGGAACTGACCCCCGCCATGCCCGTCATCTTCATCAAGGCCATTCCGGTGGACAAACAAGACACCCGCAATGTCTACGCTTGTCCCGTATATAAAACCCGCCAGAGGGGGCCAACCTACGTCTGGACATTCAACCTCAAGACCAAGGAGAACCCGTCTAAGTGGGTGCTGGGTGGGGTGGCTCTACTGCTACAGATCTAAACAATGGGAGCAAGTATTGCTTTATGCAGCCCGGCAAACTGTGAACCTCATTCCCGCTAGTCATGGACTTCCAGAAGACACTTTATAGCATCTATTGCACAAGACAATCTGTAACTTCCAGTGTTAATATTGGACGGAAGATGCGATAATTGTTCTATTTTCTTGTTTTATTTATTTTAAGTGTTTCCATTAAAGAAATTCTGTTCTCTGATGAGGTTGTCATGGTTTTCCCTCAGCAGGAAAATTCTAGAAGGAATATAGGATACGGGGGGGTTCTGTTGTAGGAGGGTAGTATGAATGAGAACTTATCCTTTCAGCCGCCATCTTGGACTCTCTGGAACAAGCTACCACAACATTTCCAGTAGCTCGGCATGAAAAGTTTCTCTCCGCATCAGACTGGAACCCACAGGGAAGGGGGCACACATGCAAGGGTGACAACACTGCTTCTACTAAGGGACGGTTGTCACCCTAGGCTGCCCAACCC